CAGCTAGGATAGTTGGGAATGTATGTATGCATAGTTCTTGGTTGTATGTTGGTAATTAAGTTATGCTGAGAGGAAGTGTTTTTAGAATCCTATAAATGTTAGAAGGGTGTTTGTACATGTTAGAAATTTAAGGAGTACAAGGTTATAACCCTCTACATTACTTTTCTATCTACTTAATATCCCCACCTTTTGGGAACTGCCAGAAAACACCGGGATTCACTATTCCAGGCCACAGCAGTATCTGGGGTAGAAATACAGGTGATGGAAAGACCTCAGCATCTGGCAAAGCCCCGAAATATTGGATATCCTTGCTTGTCCTGGGGCCTCCACCTTTGAAGACTTTGGTCAGCTTGCCCAGAGTCATTCAGATCCTTCGGTTCAACAAAATTTGGCTTATGAACCTGACCTTCAGGTTCTCAAGCCATTTTTGGGAAAGATTTGAAGTGAGGTTCTCGGATTTGCAGTAGAAACACCCAAAAGGAGACTTCTGGTAAGTCATGTCTTAGAAGACAAAGTTTACAAGTTTCCCACCACCTCTACCCATGTCTTGGGGACAAGGATTCTAGAGAATCTCTTTGAGATGCTAGAGAAGGGTGTCAATGCCAGTAGTCATTCAGGTGACTGGAACCAGTCTTGAGTCTGAAGGCAGTCACAGAACTGTGTCCAAGGAAGGGGGTCAAGGGTGACACAGAAGGCCCAGGCGGAGAAATCCTGGGTCTGGAATCTGCATTTGTGCCTGTAAAGTCAGATGTTTGGTCAAGTCGGGAGAGGCCCTGGAAGGGGGAAATGATAGAGTCAAGGTAGGAAATATTTAGCATGGATGGGAGGAGCTCCTACCCATCCAGTGCTTTCGGAGGATTGCATAGGGGAGTGTGAGTTAAAGGATATCTTCTCTTGCTCTAGGGTAGTATTAGCTGTGCTCAAGAGAACTGTATCTCACTACAGTAAGTCAGTGTAAACCTTGCCAGAGATATTCAGCTCTCGAAGGTCAGATGAGCATGGAAGAGAACAGGTTAATAAACCTGAGAATGCTGTAGTTACACTGGCTGTCTTTTGTGTTTTTTGTTGTTTTTTTGGTTTTGGGGTTTTTTTGGCTGCAGGGTGACAGAAGTTATCCCTGTGGTGAATTAGGGGAAATGATTGGAAAAGTGAAACACAAGAGTGAAACTCTCCGAAGGCAGAGGCTCAACCCACTGAGCCACCCAAGCGCCCCAGGAATGCTTTTAATATCTCATTAAAATGAGTTTCTGGGCACCTGGGTAGCTCAGTACCTTAAAGCCTCTGCCTTTGGCTCAGGTCATAATCCCAGAGTTCTGGGATCGAGCCCCGCATCAGACTCTGTGCTCGGCGGGGAGCCTGATTCCCCCTCTCTCTCTGCCTGCCTCTCTGCCTACTGGTGATCTCTGTCTGTCAAATAAATAAATAAATAATCTTTAAAAAATAAATAAAATGAGTTTCCTTGGTTAGAATTCAAATCCTATCAGTGGCTGAGCCCTACGTGGCCCTCCTTTGTGTGAGGCCAGTAGCGCTAGGTGGGGCTTCCAGGAATCGAGAGCCTAGCTCAGGTTCCCCCAAATTCCAGCATCTGTGGCACCCACTGGATAGTGAATCTTATGTCAAAAATGCAATGGCCTCACAATTTAAGTAATAAGAACACAATTAAAAACTAATCATCACAATGAATGCCTCCTATTAGTAATAATAATGTATATATACATGTATACATATATATGCATGTGTGTGTGTATAAAGTGCTTAAAACATCCCATGGCTTATTCTAAGGGTGCAATAACGTTTCCAAGTATTCTTTTTTTTAAGGTTTTATTTGTTTGTTTAAAAAAAGCAGGCAGAGGGAGAAGCTGAGCAGAGAGCCCAATGCGGGGCTCAATCCCAGGACCCTAGGACCATGACCAGAGCCAAAGGCAGATGCTGATAGACTGAGCCAGCCAGGTATCCCTCCATTTATTTACGTGAGAGAGACAGAAAGAGAGAGAGAGCACAAGGAGGGGGCTGAGGGAGAGGGAGATTCAGACTCCCTGCTGAGCAGGGAGCCTGACATGGGACTCAGTCCCAGGACCCCAGGATCATGACCTGAGCTGAAGGCAGACACCCAGCCAGCTGAGCCACCCAGGCACCGTTTCACTCCACTTAGTGCTAGAGTGTACGAATGTATATCCATGTATACATGTGTACGTGTGTACGTGTGTGTGTGTGTGTGTGTGTGCCCCTCTGGCTCAATCACAAGCCATTTGTGAGGTGAGTTTCCATTGATTAGATTCATTTCACTTTGATCAAATAGAATCCCTTATTTTTAATGGCTACACAGTACTCCATTGTATAGTTGTGCTATTTTTATTAAACCAAAGTCCTGCTGTTGGGGAGGAAGTTCCTCTGCCCTTCAAGGTCCTTCCTGTCCAACTAAGACTCAAACTGACATGCTATAGATTAACAGAAAATCAAATTTAATAGCAGGGAATCCACACAGACAGGAGATTGCAGTAACAGCGAGGCAACACGAGGATTATAGGAGCTAGGGAGAGGGGTAGGGTCTGAAAATAAAAGGGGAGAAAGACCATTAGCAGGAAGGGGAGAGATGATTGGAAAACAAAGATCACCTCGGTATGCACATCAGTTTTTTTGGGTAAAGAGGAATCTCTGGGGCACCTCAGTGGCGGCTCGGTCCTTGAAGCCCTGAAGCGTCAGCCTTGGCTCAGGTCCTGATCCCAGGGTCCTCGGATGGGATCCAGCCCCATGTAGGGGGCTCCCTGCCCAGTGGGGAGTCTGCTTCTCCCTCTTCCCCTCCCCCAGCTCACACTCTCTCTCTCTCACTCTCTCAAATAAATAAAATCTTTAAAAAAAGAAGAGGACTCTGTTTCAAGCTTGCTTCCCGGTACAGGCAGGCAGTTGAGGGGGAGGTGAAGAGCTTTTCTGGCATCTGCTGGGTTCTGACTGCTTTTGACTCAAGGTCATGCCAAAGCAGCTCCTCTCAGGGTGGCCTGCCCTGCACCCCCACACTGACGTGGGACATCTGGTTTATTCCACCGCTTGCTCTTACGACCGATACTAAAATGTAAGCACCTCGTTGAAGTGTCCATCAGTGTTCAGTCTGATCTCGTGGATCCATGGAATCGAAAAAGGCCAATCCCACAGAAACAGAGGAGGATGGGGGCTAGGGGCAGTGAGGAGATGTTAGTCCAAGGGTACAAACTCCCAGTTAGAAGACAAACAAAACTTTGGGGATTTAAGACACAGCATTGTGATCCTAGTTAATATTCTATTATATACTTGAAAGTTGCTAAGAGCAGAATCTTGACTGTTTTCACCACAGGAAACAGTAATTACGTGATGTGAGAGGTCAGCAAAGGCTGGGGGCAATCCCACTGCAGTGTAGAAGTGAATCAAACCAACACACTGGACAGCTTCTGTTTACACAACGTGATATGTCACTTATGCCTCAATAAACCTGGAAAACAGTTTGGAAAAATCTCAAGTTTTATAAAATAAATCTTTTTTTTTTAACCTTAAATACCTCGCTGCAGAAATTTGCTCACGCAGTTTCAGGGAGTGAGGAAGCTCTGGGCTTTAAAAGCTTTTCCTTGGAGTCTAATGTTTGCATGGAAAGCAAGGGAATCATATTCCGTGGGATCATTCAGGAACATTTTAGGATACACGTGCACATACAGGGCTGCACAAAGGTAGGAAGGCAGAATCTCTCTGGCCTTCTGGGGCGACTCCCGGCCCCCCTCCCCCAAATGTCCTCCTAACTGTAGTCAGTACAGTTTTTAAGAACTTTTAATTTTTAATCAAAGCAATACATACATAGTTTGCAAAAAATGCAAGAGTGAAAAAAAGGCATATAATGAAAAGTAGTAAATCCCTGTCCATCCTGCTTAATGCAGTTCCCCAAACCAGAGGCAAAAACGTTTACACCTGTTTAGTGGTTACCTCCTTTCTTACGAATATGCTTTTATTACTACTTTTTTGACTTGATAACAGAAGGAATTCTGACTTCCTGCTTTCCCAGTAGCCCCCTCCCCCCTTCACTATGGCTGAATCACTATTTTTAAATCTCCTGTTGGCTACCTTGTTTGCTTTAATAATAGGATCCCTAAACCTGCCTTATTCTTTCAACTAGAGACAATCTGGACTTCGTGCTTCGTGAGAATAACGCCACCGCTCCATTTCCTCCTGTCTGCCCACTGTCCAAGAGAGGCTAACCTTCCCATCCGGTCTTACCACCGTCGTGAAGCCTTCCCTGCTTAGCTGACAGATTTGGTCCATAACTTCTGTTTCCATCGGAATGATTATTCAAATACGGTTCACTGCAGAGCTGAGCCGCACGGGATGACTGGTCTCTGCGAGCGCCGCACGTGCCCATCCGTGTTCGAGCTGATTCCCTTTCTCCCACTCCTGGCAGTTGTTCAAAACCCGGCCGCGTCTGAGGTTGCTTCCCTTTCGAAGCCTGCTTTCCTTGCACAGTTTGAAATGTTTGTTTTGCCCTGTAGTTTCTGTTCGCCATTGACTCGGTTTGAAGACATGTCTTCCATCAAGTTAATTCCCTCCAGCTTCTGTCTCAATCTATCTATCTAATGGCTTGGAATTTATTCCATTCAGCTGGAAGTCTGTTCGCATCTCATTCTAATTTGGGAGATTTGCTTTCCCAATTGGACCGTTGTTGCACAGTTAGTTTACCTCTCGGTCGTTAGCAATCTTTCCTCTTGTCCCCCGCCCCCCCAACCCCGTCTCCGGGCATCCTGGGACCACCGTCGCTTCCTCCCGTTCGCGCTGTTCGGGGTTTAACGGCTGCAAGAACGTCGCAAGTATTTCTGAGGATTTTCAGAGTTTAAAGTTCTTTCCTGCTCCTTGAACTATTTCCTAGAGAATCACCCTTTCATTCTATCTTCGGCTTTTTTGGTTATGCTGTAGGCTTTCTGCAAACGATGATTTCTAGCCGCCCATGGACAGGGAAAGATAAGGCGGTGGGGAGGCAGCCCGGGGAGGCAGCCCGGCGAGTCCGCCGCGCGACTCTACTAGCCGCTGTGCTCCAGAGCGGGGGAGCCGGAGGTGGAAGCCAGCCATCCTTCCGGGACCCCCGAATGCCACAAAGTCAGTTGCCCTAAATGTGTACCTGCAGGCGGACGTTGAGGATCACCGAGGCCACCACGTAGAAGTAGGGGAAGTTGGTGCGCAGCCGCCAGGCCAGGTCGAAGAAGGTGATCAGCGTGCGCGTGAGCCCCTTGCAGAAGGCGCCGTACGAGCCGCGGGCCGCCGCCGAGCGCGACAGCCGCACCCCCAGGGCCGACAGGGCCGCCGCCGCCGCCGCCGCCGACAGAGCCGCCATCGGTCTGGTGTCGCCTCCGAGAGGGTGCCGGGAGCCAGGGGCTTCTAGCAAGCTGCGCCGACCCACTGATCGACGGACGGAGAAACGCGCGCGGGGGCAGTCGGTGCGGAGGGCCCACCGGGCAGCCGCAGATGCCAGCCGCGCTGCACCGCGAACACCCTCCTTCCCAGCCGCAGCGATCGGCGATCTGCGGTGGCCGGTGTTGCGCGGGGTCCGCAAGGCTGAGCTGCCTTGGGGTGGGCGGGGCGCCGGAGTTCGCGAGCCCCCGGACGGGGAAGGGAGGGGGGCCGGGGGGCGGAGTGGGGACCAGAGGCTGGAGGCAGGGGGAGGGAGGGGAAGGGGAGGAGGAGGAGGAGGGAGGAGAGGGGGAGGGGCACGTGCCTTTCACCGGAGACGCAGCTTCCTCCTCTCGGTGGTCTTTTTTTTTATGTTTTAAATTTTAACGGAAGCAAAACGAAACTTGCACAAAACGTTAGAAGAGTGCCTTCGTAAACATGATCTTCAATAGCTGAGAAGTGTGAACCCGTTTCCTGTTGCCTCAAATCCCTGTAGGAATTTTGTCAATCCTCAACTGTGAGCAAGTACGAACACACAAAACCTAATTCATTTTCTCAACCGTAAAATGCTTGCCTTCTGCTTTAATGATTCCAGTGACTTCGGAAATTTGGTTTTAGATCTTTAGCGTGCTTCTATTGGGAAAAGTTATACAGACAAGTTGTTAGACATTTTCAACAGCACAATTAGAACAATGGGAAACAGATTCCCTGCTTAGTTTCACATTCCTCACCCCGCCCCCGCCACGAACTACCATTCCGTTTTCTGTGTATACTTTCAGACTTGATATGTTCATACAGTGCTCTTACCATGTCAGTGATATGTAACTACCTCACTCTCTGGGACGGCTGATCACTCCCCTAACATGTATGTTGATATTTAGTCATTTATTTAACCAGTCCTCGACTGATGAAGATTCTGAATGTTTCTGCTTTTTCTTATTGCAAACACTATTGCACAGAACATCAATGTACGCATGAATTTTCAAGTGGCAGAAAAGAATGAGGAATATAATCCTGTTTTTATTTATAAAAACAATCATATAAACATATTTAGTGTTTGAGGTCAAAAAAGTTTTGCTTTTTAATACATATGGTTGATCCATGAGATTAGGGCTGTATACAACATTGAGTGTTAATATTGGAATTTTTTCACCAATATGAAAGGCAATAATCACTACTCATTATTCCTCTAATTTGCATTCATTTTAATTATCAGTGAAGCTGAGTGACTTTTCTAAAATTTTTTTAAAGATTTTATTTATTTGACAGAGAGAGACAGTGAGAGACGGAACACAAGCAGGGGGAGTGGGAGAGGGAGAAGCAAACTTCCCACTGAGCAGGGAGCCCTGTGTGGGACTCGATCCAAGAATTCTGGGATCATGACCTGAACCAAAGGCAGATGCTTAAGGACTGAGCCAATTGCTTTAAATGTATATATCTTGCATATCTTTCCATGTTGATACCTTATGGGCTGTGTATTATTCCTTATGGATGGCCACTAATTAACGGATGGATATTTGGATGGTTTCCATTTTTTCACGAGTATAAACAATGTAGAGATTAATATCTTCATGTGCATATCTTTGTAGGCTTCTCTGATATTTCCCTGGGGTACATTCTGACAGGTGGAATTCTGGGATCAAAAGGTTTTCATCTAGGGTGCCTGGCTGACTCAGTCAGTAGACCATGCAATTCCTGATCTCGGGGTTATGAGTCTGAGCCCCACCTTGGGTGTAGACATTACTTAAAATTAAAATCTTAAAATAAAAAGGATTTCATCTGTTTATGGATTTTGATACATGTTAAAACTGCCTTCCACACAGATGCTACTAATGTATCCATATCCATGAACACTTTCAACTTTCCTAATTGCATTGATTTTCTTTTTTAAAAAAATATTTTATTTCATTTTATTTTATTTTATTTCAGTGTTCCAAAATTCCTTGTTTATGCACCACACCCAGTGCTCCATGCAAAACGTGCCCTCCTTAATACGTGCCACCAGGATCACCCCACCCCCAACCCCCCACCTCCAAAAACCCTCAGCTTCTTTCTCAGAGTCCTCAGTCTCTCGGGCTTTGTCTCCCCCTCTGATTTCCCCCAACTCACTTCTCCCTGGGCATTGATTTTCTTTCAAATCACTGACATTCTGATAGCTGAAAAGCTACCCCACTGTTTTAATTTGCATATTGTGATTACTAGCGAGGTTAGACTTAATATGTGCATATATCTTTGCACGTCTGTATGAAAGGAATTACTGTCTCAAAGTTTTGCGGTCTTAATTTTTTTAAAAGTAAGCTCCATGTCCAGTGTGGAGCCAACATGGGGTTTGAACTCCTCACCCTGAGATCAAGACCTGAGCTGAATGGGGCGCTTGACCAACTGAGCCACCCAGGCACCCCTGCTACCTTAATTTTAATCAGTATTTCCAATTCACCAATAAGAAGGTTGTACCAATGAACACACAGGCTAAGGGGTCCAGGAGCCCCCAGGGGCAGTGGTGACAGCGAGGAAGGGAATAGTTAGACAGGCTTCCCCTCTCCCCCCCCTGTCTCCATGCCCCTCAGCCTGCTCAGGTCCTGGCCCCTTTATTTTTATTTTTACATTACAATTTTTGCCTGAGGCAGGCAGAACAGCATAAGCAGCCTGAAAATGATAAAACCTCAACCATGGCCTTGGGAGAAACCAAAGTAGACAAAATAGCCTACAGTGACGTGACCCATTAAGCAAAGGAAATGCCTCCCCCCACATCACACACTGACTATAAACGGCAATAGGCTAAAACTATTGTCTTTAGGAAATTATACAAGTCTCCTGGCTCTTCTTTCCCACGCTAGAGTGCGTATACCTTAATTCTTCTATCTGCTGTCACGCACTCTTAATACATATGGGAGGAATACATTTTGCAAACTGCTATATTGGTTTAGAGAGAGAATAGGTTCAAGTGTAATCAGAGGCTTTTGTAGTAAAAGATCCCAAATGAAACACAAGTGTTTGCCTTTCCAAATCAAACGGGAACAGTTAGAAAGAAGTGCAGAGTAAATTCATTCAGAAATTAGCAGAAGGGGTAAGGATAAAGGATCAAGGGTTTGAGATATTCACCGAATGGATGTAGATGGGCTCCGTCTGAAAATCAGAGCAAGCAACTCTCCGGCAAAGCCTGGGTGGGGAGGGAGCAAAAGCCAGCTTCGTGGAGGAAGCACCCTGGCTCTCCAGGCATACAGAGTGGAAGTGGGAAGATGGCACCAAAGGAGCTGGTTATTTAAAATCTATTTGAGGGGCGCCCAGGCTGCTCAGTTAGTTAAGCGTGGGACTCTTGGTTTCAGCTCAGGTCATGATCTCAAGGTCGTGAGATGGAGCCCCACATGGGGCTCTACACTCAGCACAGAGTGGGCTTGTCCCACTCCATCTTCTCCTCCACCCCTCCCCCGCACACTCTCTCTCAAATAAATAAAGTCTTAAAAAAAATAAAACGTATTTGACAAATGGTTGAGTAAGTGCATTTGCACCACGGCCCCCCACCCTCCAGCTAGTTATCTCCAGGATGAAAATGGGCAGTGTTTCTCTAAAGAAACTGGGTGAGGTGCTTGAAAGGGGGAGGGCTCCAGAAGCGGGGATGGAGATGGAATTGGTGCCTGTGGTAGACAGTAAAAATAGCGACAAATGTTTCCCCTTCCTGAATCCCAAATTTTGTATGGACTTTGCAGATCCTGTCATCAAGAAGTGGTCTGCTGGGGCGCCTGGGTGGCTCAGTGGGTTAAGCCTCTGCCTTCGGCTCAGGTCATGATCCCAGGGTCCTGGGATCGAGCCCCACATCCAGCTCTCTGCTCAACGAGGAGCCTGTGTCCCTTCCTCTCTCTCTGCCTGCCTCTCTGCCTGCTTGTGATCTCTGTCTGTCAAATAAATAAATAAAATCTAAAAAAAAAAGAAGTGGTGTGCTGCTTTTATCTGGAATCTGCCATATGACTGGCTTTGCTTAACAGGCCATTGGCAAAAACAGTGCAACCATGAGCGGGGAAGGTGCCTATGCTCTGGGGCCTGGACTTTTGCTTGTCTTGGAAGCCCGCTGCCACCATGCGAACAAAGCAGATGAAATTTATGCCCCGATCATCCCTGTAGCCCCAACTGATGGCCAACCCCACTCCTAAAGGTCCTGTCACCCAGGCCACCAGTAGCAGCTGACCCCAGACACGTGAGAATCCAGCTGACACAAGCAGGATGGCCAACCCCAAGCTGTCTTTAATGGCCAACAACTGTTGAGTCAATAAATGGCCGCTGTTTTAAACCTCTGAGCTTCGAGGGGTTTGTTTCTCACACAAGTTAACTGATAACCATGCCCCGGAGTAGAGCTACAGGGTAGAGTGGCAATCAGAGGCAATCAGAGTGGTTTGGTCACCAGTGATCTTTGATGGTGATTACTAGACCATGGGGGCCCTAGGACTAAAATAGAAGCATGACCTATCTCATGAAAAGAATTCTGGCAAAGAGCGTCACCTGGGTGGCTAGGTGGATTAAGTGTCTAAGTGTCTGACCCTTGGTTTTGGCTCAGGTCTTGATCTCAGGATCCTGGGATTGAGCCTCGAGTGGTCAGGCTCCCTGCTCACTGGGGAGTCTGCTTGGGTTTCTCTCTCTCCCTCTGCCCCCCTTCCCCTGGCTCACGCATGTGTGCTTTCTCTCTCTCTCAAAGAAATAAAATCTCTAAAAAAAAATTCTGGCAAACAGCAAGTTGGGTCACCATGATAGTGTCACAGCCCCTCAGGTCATGTCCTCAGAGTCTCCAGGATGACGTGGAGACCAAGGACCATGAAGAAGGCCGCTATGGTAGCATAATAACTATGTCCCACCTGTCTTCCTAGCCATCCCCCAAAAGGACCTGCAGTGATTTCCCAAGGTAACTGTTCAGAGGAGAAATAAAAAACCCGCACCATACAGGGACTTTTGGACAGGGCTCTGAGCTAACCCTAAGCCTGGGGACTCAGAGCAACATTGGTGCCCAGTCAGAGCAAAGGCTAAGGAAGGTCAGATGATAAATGGAGTTTGGGCTTAAATCCAATGTATGCTGGGCCCAGTGGGCATACAAACACACTCTGTAGAAATTACCCCAGTTCCTGGGTTTTCAGTTCTAATATATGGAACCAACAACTGGCCAGACACCCCAACTGGCTCCCTGACCTGTGGAATGAGAGTTTTTCTGTTAGGAAGGGCCCGATGGAAGGCCGGAACTTCCTTCCTCTTCCAATGGCAGCAAAATAGCAAACACAAAGCACTTATTTTTTTCTCAGATACTCTCCCAAGCGCTTTGCAGACATTAACGCACGATGCCTCAAAACTACAAAAAACACTACAGAAAAAACCCAACAGCGCTCAAAGGAGGCACTATCATTGCACACCTTTTACAGAAAAGGAAATTAAGGCATTGAACATTTAAGTCACTTGCCCAAGGTCATTAGCGTCATTCCACCAATTATGGTGGAACCAGAATCGAAACCTCAAACCGGTTCGGGTCCGCGCTCTTAAGCGCTATGCTCTCCTCTCAGAAGAGCAAACCCAAACCAATACTACAGGCATGGAGGACTCCCAGAAATCAGGGCCACGATCAAGACTCAAACTTCACTTTGGCTAGTGAAGAGTATAGGGGGATCTTGAAACAGAGGTGATAGCAGGTTATGGAGGCACAGGTAAGGCCCAGGAGCAGTAGTTCCCTCTCCTGGGGTGACACTGTTGGCCACACTGCCTTCCCTTTTCCACCCACAGCTGTCATTTCATGGGGACTGGAATGGCCTGAATTGTGTCCCTGCTGAATTCATATGCTGAAGCCCTAATCTCTAGTATCACAGAATGTGACCATATTTAGAAATAAGGCCTTTAAGCAGGTAATTAAGGTGAAATGAACACGACTGGTGTTCTTAGATGAAGAGGAGATTAGAACACAGATAGGCCCAGAGGGAAGATTGTGTGAAGGTACAGGGAGAAACCAGACAAGGAAAGAGGCCTTTGAAAGAAACCGACTCTGCCGATGTCTTACGTCTGACTTCTGAGTTTCCAGAACTATAAGAAAATAAATTTCTGCTTTTGAAACCACCTCGTCTGTGATACTTAGTCATGGCAGCCCTCGCAGAGTAATCCAGGGACTTGGCTATAACCGGTTGTCTCGGGGCTTCTCTAGGCTTCTCTTAGATCTGTAGACCTCTCTATAACCAATTGTCTTAGGGTATCCTATAGAACCAGTAGCATACATGTAGATATGTAAGAGGAGATTTATTCTTGGGATCGTCTCACACACAAGGTTATGGAGGCCAGGAAGTTCCACGGTCTACTGTCTGAAAGCTGGAGAACCAGGAAAACCCGTGGTTGAATTTAGTTCCAGTCCAAAGGTCTGAGAACCAGGAACTTCATCCAATGTCCAAGGGCAGGAAAGACGGACATCTCAGCTCAAGAAGAAGGAATTTTCCCTCTCTTCACCTTACTGTTCCATTCAGGCCCTTGAAGGATTGGCAGCTGCTAGCCTCCATGGGTGAGGGGCGACCTCTTTACTCAGTCAAAAATTAAATGTTAATCCCTTCCAGAAACACCCTCGTAGACATACACAGAAGGATGTTTTACTAGCTATTTGGCCTCCCTCAGCCCGGTCAAGTTGACACAGAAAATTAACTATCGCATCAGTTGTTTGATGAGGAGATGACTCAAAGCTATGTAAGTCCAGTTCACATGACAGAAAGGCCCCGGCCAGAAGCGTACCACTGTGGCATCACAGCCCCTCACAGGTAGCCCAAAATCTTCTCTGAGAACATAGTTTCTTTTTTTAAAAGATTTTATTTATTTGTCTGACAGAGAGAGAGAACGAGCAGAAGGAGCAGCAGGCAGAGGAGAAGCAGGCTCCCCACTGAGCAGGGAGCCTGACATAGGACTCGATCCCAGGATCCTGAGATCATGACCTGAGCCAAAGGCAGATGCTTAACTGACTGAGCCACCCAGGTACCTCTGAGAACATTGTCTCAAGTGGTATATCTGGTTGTTCACTTTGCTTGGAAGGAGAAATGGCCTAAGGATATGGCTCTACACTGATGTTCAGGGACTTGGAAAGAACAAAATTTAAAGTATTGGTGACAAGAAGGTTTTTCAAAAGTGATATGTGGTTGGACCTCTAGGGATGGTCACAGAGCATAAACACATCTGTGTTTCATATAAATGCCCAACAGAAGTCATCAGCTGGGATAAAGGCTCAGTAACCATGTGCACAAGATGACTTGCCCAAGAATGTCAGCCTTTCCCCCCACCACTCTGAAGCTTGCTAGCAGGCCCATGTACAAAGTGGCCATGGTTGCAGGGATGGAGGCTCAGCGTGGGGTCAGCCACTGGGACTTCCCCTCCCCGAGGATGATCTAGCCATCAGAATAGTTGAGTGTCCAATCCCAACCTGCCCCTGGCAGAGGCCAATGCCACACCCCTCATATATACCATTTTCTTGCGGTGAGAGGAGGCTCCAACCAGCCATCTGGGGGCAGGGTGATGACAGGGGCCCCTTCCATCATGGAGGGGGGCTTCCCTGCTCAGCTGATACCACTTACAAGGGCATGATACCCCATTCAACACTGCTTCTGACAATGGCACTCATTTTACAGCAAAAGAAGGCAAGAAAGAGCTCAAGAGAATTTGCACAGGTCATACATTTCCCTAGTCGTATCTTGTTTTCTATCATCTGGAAAGGTGGATTGCCTGTTTCACATCCATTTGATAGTAGTTTCTTCTTGTTGCCTTGATTTTAGGCTCCGCAGACTTAGAGGTCTGAGGAATGAGTCAGTCTACAGGGAGAAACGACCACGACTGCATGGAAAGGAATGGACACTGAGACTGCGGTCGAGCTGTTCAGCATCTAAGCTCCACATGTCCCTGGACCAACAGGACAGATGAGAGTTTGACTGGTGTGATTGATCCCGAACATCAGGGGATGTTTCATTGCTCTTCGTGCAGCAGAGAGGATTAAGCATGAGACTCGGGGGCCCCCCTCCCCATCCTGCGGTGTTCAGCGGTCAAAGGTAATGAAAGATTATAGCAATATCATCCAGGCGGCACTACAGAGGGCTCACGTCTCTCAGAAATGAAACTTTTTTTAATAAAGACTTTATTTATTTATCTGAGAGAGAGATAGAGTGAGAGGGGCAGAGGGAGAAGCAGGCTCCCCGCTGGGCTGGGAGCCCAACGTGGGACTTGCTCCTGGGACTCCAAGATCATGACCTGAGCTGAAGGCAGATGCCCAACCAACTAAGCTACCCAGGCACCCCACTCAGAAATGAAGCTTTACCTCGGTCTGTCAGGCAAAAAGAAACCAGCTGAGAGCAAGGAAAACAGAAGGGGTAGTAGAAGAAAAGTTTTAAATACCAACTATGGCCTTGTAACTAGTTTCAGAAACAAAATGGAAGTAGCTGCTCATGTTTCCTTTTTTCCTTATTTTGGGGTGTGTGTGTGTGTGTGTGTGTTGTGGGTACGGCAACATATTCTCTTCACCCTGTCCCTTATATAGGGTATGTTGATGGTAGTAGAACTTCATAATTTCGTGCACAAATTACAGAATAGCAGTATACAACTGTGATGGACTTAGAGAAAAAAGAACACTGAACCACAATCTTTTGTACATTTTCTTTTTTTTTAAAGATTTTTAAAATTTATTTGACAGACAGAGATCACAAGTAGGCAGAGAGGCAGGCAGAGAGAGAGGAGGAAGCAGGCTCCCCGCTGAGCAGGGAGCCCGACACGGGGCTCGATCCCAGGACCCCGGGATCATGACCCGAGCCGAAGGCAGAGGCTCAACCCACTGAGCCACCCAGGCGCCCTACATTTTCTTTTTTTTAAGAAGCTCCGCACCCAACCTGGGCTTGAACTCCAGACCCCCAAGATCAGGAATCACATCCTCTACTGACTGAGCCAGGCAGGCGCCCCTCAACAGTCTTAAATTTAGAGCTGGATGTGATAATTCATGAGACACTGGGCATCCCCTATTGGGAAAAAATTGGGAGTGATTTGTTTTGTACAAGGCATCGTTGTGCTATGTTAAGTGGGAACATGGCATTATGGGAGAGGAAAAGTTTTCCCTTCTTCTAGATTCATTGCCTAATCTAATAATTAAATTGACATAAAACAGATTAACAGGAGAAAAACAAATTTAATTTCATATATACAGCAGTTCCTGAAAACACAAGACTCAAGGGATTGATCAAAGCAGGGAGCTTTTAAACCTTTTCAACAAAGAAACAATAAATTTGTGAAGAATTGATGAGGCAAAGAAGTTTGGGCTTAGGGTAGTAAATTGGTGAAGTAACAGGGTTTCTTTATAAAAGCTTCTTGGCTTTGAATTCCCTATTTCTGGTGATAAGGATGCCTTCTATCTTCCTGGTACAGGGAGGGTACCTCCCACGTGGGAGAATGATTTCTTGTTTTCAGAAGAGGGTCAGAGTGTCCTTGCACTGACTGTTTCTTAAGTAACTTTATTCTTTCTCTTCCCCTGGCCTCCCCCTTCTTAAGTAATTTTGACTCAAAAAACTCAATTATGTCAAAGTGGCAAATTTGGGGGCAGACCGCCCTGAACCCCATCTTTTTTTTAAGTCATCCTTACACCCAGTGTGGGGCTTGGACTCACAACCCCAAGGTCAAGAGTTGCTTGCTCTACCAACTGAGCCAGCCAGGCACCCCCGAGCCCCATCATTATTGTTGCTATCATTGTTTTTATTTAGAATTTTAAGTGTGGAAAAGATTGTATATGCACTCATCATTATTCGAGTCTAAACTATTTCTGAAAACATGTTAGAGGCCACATTTTTGGATAGCAGAACTCTATCTTTTCTCAATTTAAATGGGAAAAATAATAATGCTTTCCATCTCCTCCAAACCAATTTTCCCGAATGTCATGAAAACACCAAAGCCTTCTGCATAATATAAAGCACTTATAATCCAACCATCTAGTAATTTAATATTTTGTGAACTCACTGGTTAACAGGTACGCAGTATGATGCATTTTGACAATATCACACAGTATGGAGTATGAATTATACTCTCCTTCCACATTGCAGGAAACACAGTCTGTAGCGTAAATGGGGCCAAGTCTTATGTTTACATTTTATCTACTTTATTTTGTAAATTATCATGCTATAATGTAACAGTGTGGTATTGAAAAGAGATAAACACACATATCAGTGGAACAAAATATAGTCCAGAAGTCCACCCACACACATATGGCTAACTGATATGTTACAAACATGAAGAAGCAATTTGATGGAGAAAGGATAGCCTTTTAGCAGACATGTTGAGATAGCTGAAGGTCAATAGGCAAAAAAAAAGAAAAAGAAAAATTATACCTTGACCTAAAAATGACACCTTATTACAAAGTTCATCCAAACTGGATTATAAATCTAGATGTAAGACATAAAACTGCAAAAATTCTTTTAAAAAAGATTTTATTTTTCCTTTTTTTTGTTAGTTTCAGTGGTAGAGTTTAGTGATTCATCAGTTGCGTATAATACTCAGTGCTCATCACATCCCATGCCCTCCTTCATGACCATCACCCAGTTACCCCCATCCCCCCATCCCCCTCCCTCCATCAACCCTCAGTTTGTTTCCTAGAGTTAAGGGTCTCTTACAGTTTGTCTCTATCTCTGATTCCATCTTAGTTTATTTTTCCCTCCCTTACCCTATGATCTTCTGTTTTGTTTCTTAAATTCCATGTATGAGTGAAATCATATAATTGTCTTTCTCTGACACTTATTTCGCTTAACATAGTACCCACTAGTTCCATCCACGTCATTGCAAATGGTAAGATTTCGGTTTTTTGATGGCTGAGTAATATTCCAGTGTGTGTGCACGTGCATGTATGTGTGTAACACGTCTTCTTCATCCACTCATCTGTAGATGGACATCTGGGCTCTTTTTATAGCTTGGCTATTTTGGACACTGCTGCTATAAATTTAGTTTTTTTAAAGATTTTATTATGTATTTATGTGAGAGAGAAAGAGTGAGGGCAAGGGAGGAGCAGACGGAGAGGGACAAGCAGACTCTGTGCAGAGGCTGATGTGGGGCTCGATCCCATGACCCTGAGATTGTGACCTGAGTCCAAACCAAGAGTCAGATGCTCAACTGACTGAGCCCCACCCCAGGTGCCCCCAAACTGTGAAAAGTCTTAGAGGAAAGCACAGGAAAAAATTGTGTGTGACCTGGGATTGGGCAAAGAATTTTTATCTGTGACATAAAAGTACGATTCACAAAAGAAACAACTGATAGATTAGACTTTATCAAAAGTAAAAACTCGTGCTCTTTAGAAGTCATGAGTAAGGAAATGAAAAGACTCGGTATTGTGGGGAGTTGTACAGAATCTGAGATTTTACCCTCCTTATCAGCCAAAAGGTTAATTTGTTGCTGCTTCGTGGATATTGGCAAAAGACGGGAGATTCCCGAGTGTGAGAAAATGACCTTATTACTCCTGGCAAAGCAATGTAGCCAGAGCATCTGAAGAGTGCTCATGATCGTTCCCCATGCTCCCTAAGTCCCACAGAGGCAATGCCGTGGACCTCTCATGCGTGTTGGGGAAGCCCTCTCCGTGTAGGGGAAGACGTCACCTCATCGCTCAGGGCCGTTGGCCGGGATGCAAAAACATTGCTGAGAAATGGCCAGGCAAAGAGCAAGTCAGGGTGGTCCACTCTTTGCATGCCTGGCAAACGATGTGCGAAGGCACTCACGGCCCACGGTGGGTTGCTTCTCCCAGTGCGGCACCCTCTAGCCCCACCAACTTGTAGCTCCTCTTTTAGACTCTAAGGATATAGTTTGAAGCCAGACTGGTATCCATCACACAGAGGGGAGCTTAGACTCTTCTGATGATCTTCAGTGTCCTTGTCAATAATTATAAGGGGGTTGGGGATCCTGGCTCAGTGGGTTTAGTGTCCGCCTATAGCTCAGGTCGTGGTCCCAGGGTCCTGGGATGGAGCCCCGCATCAGGCTCCCTGCTCAGCGAGGAGTCTGCTTCTTCCTCTGCCTGCAGATTTCCCTGCTTGTCCTCGCTCTCTTTGAAAAATAAACAAATAAACTCTTTTTAAAAAAGGTGATGAGATGAGCCCTGGGAAGTACAGTTCAAGGTCTGATATAATCAACCTGTCAGGAGTGAGCAGGGTCGATGGCCCGTGCAATATGGCCTGCTTTGCACCCAGTCCCTGCCGACAGATGTGTTGCATGTCTGATGGCAATCTCACTGGTGAAGCCTTGGTCAGCAGCTTGATTGTAGTTGGTCTCACTGGAGAATGGACCTCTACTTTGAGCATCTCTGTGAGTGACCCCAACAGTCCCATAAGCATCCATAGTTTGACCAGTTTTGTGACCCCAAAGAGGGGTGTCTTTTTTTTTTAGTAATCTCTACACCCAACATGGGGCTCAAACTCATGACCCCAAGATCCAGAGTCACACACTCTTCCAACTGAGCCAGCCAGGTGCCCCAAGAGAGGGGGGTCTTTAATCTGCCAGTCTGTAGTCTTTCTTTTTTTTTTTAAGATCT